GGAGACTTTATGGTGCAGCACAGTCAGAAATCGTTGCTCACTCCAGGCTGCTTTGTAATGCATCATGAAGCATCTGTGTAATTCTGTCTGCCAGTGAAAGCATGATTATTCTGATATGGATCTGCTCAAATTCTAATTCAGGGCTTTCAAACCATGAATAAATGAGAGAATTTACCAAAAGGAGAATTAATTGGCATGTTTAATAGTTTCTTGAGGCCAAAGGCTTTGTTGATGTGCCTCTTTTTGTTCCTTTTAATGAGAAAGGAGGGACTTCCAGGGTTCACATAAATATTGAATTTCCCAGCTTTCAGATCTTCAGATGAAATACAGTTGGAAAGTATGACCCAGTTTTTCTGCTCTTCCGTGTATTCTTCATAGATTTATATCAAGGAGTAATGAAAGCTTGCTTCCTGAATTGGATGAAATAACGTCTGCAGACATTTCTATGATATTTCTTTGATGTCTTAGGTTTCTGCATGTTTCGAAGGATGTATCTGTTCATCTTAACTGTATTACCCTGACATTTGAGTTAGACTCAAACTAAAAGTAGTGCAAAACTGAGCAGTGGAAGAAAACAGATACCTGGTGCTCTAAAATATTTCCCCAATCGGCCTGAAAATGGGGACATGCCTTTCTAATACGCCCCTTCAAATACTTTGTAAAACTACCTTTAATTGAAATGACAGCAGTAACTCCTCTGAGGGAATTCCTCTATGAACTTTGAATAACTGCAGTTTAGGCCAAAGGTTTTTTCCTATTCTTCTTGAGAAAATAGGTCATGCTCATTGTTTGTGGAGGGAGTGCGTTTCCGAATCCAAGTTTTCCCACAGATTTTAGGATTTAGTCCTGAGCTTTACCTGGAACAGCCTCTACCAGTTTGATGCTATGAATGCAGCTCTATAAATCCTCCCAGTCTTCCTGTTTCTGGGCGTTCCACTGGAAGCCAAACCTTTACTAAAATGTCAGATGGCAGCTTTTCCACCTGAATTGTTCTATTTTGAACTTAGTTTATCTTTGTATCTTCCTGACCAGGTTTTGCAGCTGTGCTGAAGATAAACATCTTCACAGCGTGGAGCTGCTAGAACGATGGGTCATTGTGTGACTTATGCCTAGGAGGAGTGGCGGCCTTGTGGTTGTGGCATGGAGCTTGGAATCCAGAGGTTCTGAGTTCAAGCCCCACTCCTACAGACTGTCCCTCTGGGTCCCTGACCCCCACACTGCTCCCCAGGCAACGCACAACGGCAGCCCACTGCTCCCCAAGGGGATGGGTTAACTGCAGAGATTTCTTTACTCTGTACTTCTGACAGTGCAATGACAATAAAAGCTGGGGGAAAAATTGCATCTGCGTTTCTTCAGGAATGGTAAATCCATTTTGAATATAGATGGATTTAATAAGAGCCCCATCTCCTACAGCACATGTTTGCTTTGTCCTTGCAAAGCGATGTGCAAAACATTAAACAGAATTTCTTAAAGTGTTGCTTAAAGGCTTTTAACTTCGTCCAATGGTGGTTTTGTTAATAGGTCCTCCAACCTTAACTGTGGATATCTGTAGCCCAGTGATGGTAGGTTTGCAGTTTCACCCAACCTTTTCCATTTTACCTTTTTTTTTAATGGGCAGATTTCCATTAAAAAGTTTCATATATTGTTTTTGTTCGTAAAGTACGAATACTTCGTAATCTTACTTAAGTAGAGATTTTGTCTATCTGTACTTTACTGGAGTAATTATTTTTAGACAACTTTTTACTTCTACCCCTTACAATAAAAAAAATGACTAATTAGTTTGTTTCATTTAAGTTCATTTTCATTATGGCCTGTTGGTATAAAAAATAAAAACCCTCTAAATATTTTGTTTTATCCAGACAATTAATTTCTTTGTAGTTGGACTCGATGCTGACCCAACTTGGTGTTCGCCACATACACATAGATAGTTTTTCAAGATGATGCAAAGTTAAGTTTGATATTTTTATCATGGTTTATAAAACTAATAAAAATAAGTTCAAGGAAGATATCATCCAGAATTGTAGAAACATTTTCCTTTCATAGGGTAGTGCACATAAGCTTCTGTCCTTAACCTTTTTTTCTGCATTACTTTTACTTTTATACTTTAAGTAGTTTTTAAAATGTTCCTATTACAATTTTACTTGAGTAAAAAGCATAACTTCCACAAAAGTGTTTTTAAACAGTAGGATTTATACTT